AAATTAAAAAAAAATCAGGAAATTTCCTGGAAGTTGTTGATGATATTGAAATCTTGGGGTGATAAAAAACCTTGAGCCTGCAGCATATGGACTCCAAGTCACTGCGGTTTATCAACCACCAGTCTTTCTTCTCGGCCGCCCAATCGGGTGACCTTGACGCGCTCCAGAAACTCCTCTCTCAGCATGATGAATCCGGAGCATCCGAACCCGACCCGAAGTCGCTCTTGGCCTTGCAGAACGACGCTGGGAAGACGGCCCTGTACGTCGCGGCGGAGAATAATTACGTGGAGGTGTTTAGATTCCTGGTCGAGCTCTGCGATTTGCAGACAGCTAAGATCAGGTGCAAGGGTGACTTGGATGCCTTCTCCATCGCCGCTACTCGAGGCCACTTAGGTATTATCGTCTCCATTTTTTGTCCTGAAGTGATGAGAAGATTGTGAAAGCTGGATCTTATGCTTATTTGTTCAAACCTTATTACCTTAAGAAGAGATAAAATTAAGTTTAAGCTTGATTGTGAAGCTAAATTAAGCTGTGGGCGATGTTTGCCTTGCTCATATATGCCCCACCATTATGCACCCTTATGGAAACTTTAGTCAATTAGATCAAAATTGACTTCGGAATGAGGCTATAAGCTCAGAAGACTTTTTGCAATGGATATAATGTCTTATAACTAATTTTATATTTTAAATATATGTAGAGGTCGAAAGAAACATAGTGGCAATACCGTTAAAGCATACCTGTAATATTGAACTAGTCTTGCTAATTGATTTTTGTGTTCTCCAATTGGTTGGGTGAAGTTGGATGAGTGTTGGAAATACTTATATTTAGATTTTAAGGATCTATGATAAGACTATGTTTTTGAATGCCATTAGGTAGTTTACTGAGTTTCAGTTATTGATTAGCTTTTCTGGAAAAAGCTCTCTGCATTTTGCATAAGCTTTGTTTATTAGGAGAGCTTATTTTTTAGACGACTGTTTATAGCTGTGCTATTTTTTAAGCGTCTGTTTATAGCTTTGCAAATAAGCTCCATAAGATTTTCGAATATACTTGCATCTTGACCTCTTTCATTCATTTAAAAAACAATCTTAAGCATATCCTTGTGTCATTTTGTATGCTGAGGCTAGCGTATTAGCTATTTTTGTCGAACACTAAAGTGGCATTTGGGTTAGGCAATAGGAATAAACTGAGAAAGAATTTTAATTCATTTGTTTAATTTGCAGACTATAATTACTAGTGTTTGGTTAACTGTGGAATACATGGAAAAACCCAAAGTGCCACTTTTTATTTCTACATGTGGTACCACTCCCTTTAGAGTCTATGGGTAATTTGTCTTGTTGACTGTTAGTCTGTTACGGACCTAGCCCATTCTAGGCCCATACCAATGCCATTTTTCATTACTATGGAAAAAGTAATACCATGGGTGGGTAAGGATTGTTTTTCTTAGTAGTGAAGGAAAACATATCCCCTGGGAATTTTTATTCATCATCACCAAAAGCATGGAAATCACTGATTTTTTGGAATAAAATAATTAATATGTAGTAATTAATTAGGAAAGGATAAGTTAGTTAGTTAAGCATGTGTATCAAACCACCTGCAAGTGTAAGATCAGCACTAGCTTAAAATCTAGCTTTTGAGTTTTATATGTAAATAAAAAGTATTGCTCTGTAGATCCTAAGAGCTTTTAGAGGGAGACCCCTTGACATTTTTTAAAGGGAAACAAAAGTTTTTCATGTGAAACGGTTCATTGATTTGCACTGAAGATATGTTCCTACCTTTTCAAAAAAAGACTTACTGAACAAGCAACTAAGAGCTTAAGAGGAGCTCTTTATGTAAAAGAGCTTAAGAGAAACTGCAAGTTTATGCTTGCTAAACATGCAAAAATATTAAGACCGACTAGCTTTAAGTTATAATCTACCCATTCCTAGTTAGTTCATCAGCTCGTTTTTCCAACGCAGCCTAATTATGTTATATAAACATATACAGGTATAATCAAGGAGCTCTTGTCAAAGTGGCCTGAGCTTTGCAAAATATGCAACTCGTCAAATACAAGTCCTCTTTATTTAGCAGCCGCCCAAGGCCATGTGGATGTTGTAAATGCCATTCTGGATACGGATGTGGGCTGTGTAAGGATCGTGAGGAAGAACGGGAAGACCGCCCTGCACAATGCAGCAAGGTATGGGCTTATGCCCATTGTGAAAACGCTCATTGAGAGAGATCCGGAGATCGTCTCCATCAAAGATAAGAAAGGACAAACTGCACTTCATATGGCGGTCAAAGGTCAAGATGGTTTGGTGATAGAGGAAATATTGGATGCCGAGCACTCAATACTGAATGAGCGTGACAAAAAGGGCAATACTGCATTGCACATTGCCACTAGAAAAGCACGATCCCAGGTAATGATCTGCTTTTTAATGACAGACATATTTATGTTTGATGTTTTCTTTTTGAATTTTTCCTTTATTTTTGGTTGAAAATATCTATAATATTAACAACATGCTTGGCAGGTTTGTTTTGCATACATGATTTATTTGATTTTTCTAGAAATGTAGATAACTTTTGCACATATTTAGTATCTGGTCTGAGTCTTTTCAAAAACACGATTGCTATTATTTACTCTAAAAATGTTTAACTTTATAAAACAATTAAGTGCATGTATGGTAGACATTTTTCGTCTCTTTTGTCTTAATGAAAATGATGCTTCCATTTTAGATGCTAGTATGTTACCTTTGTCCCAAAAGTTTCTTCCTACTTTGACTTGGCATGCTTATTATTAAGAATAAAAAATATATAGTTGTGGTTGATGTAGAAAAGGGGGCAAGAATGTCAGCCGCACAAACCATTTCTTAAAAGGAAATAGGAAGAGAAATTTTGAGACATCCCTTAAAAAGAAAAGTGGGAAGAGAATTATGTGACAGATGGAGTTTTTTTTAACTTACTCTAAAAGTTGATAATTCCGTACTTTCAGCCATTTCAGGAACAATTTATCAAATTCATCCTTGCCAAATATGGGCTCTACTAAATGTTTCATGAATAGTGACCGCTTGTGAGATTTATTTCAAAAGACAATGATAATGCTTCCAACTATTTCCTTCAATAAAAATGTTTTCTGAAACTGTATTCAAATAAGTGTAATTAAACAGAAAACAGTGTTAAAGAAACATAACCAAATGGCATCGAACTCCCTGGATTTTGAACGGAAGATTTCCCTAGTTGGAAACTATACCATCTTTCAGTGCACGTGTTGTGTAATTTATATTGGGTAATTATAATCACACGTGGCTTTTTGTGTGCTTTTGAATGATGTGTAAAGCACCTTGAGAGTTACTACTCCTAAAATATTTTTTTTTACATCTCAGGTTGTGAATGTCCTGTTGACTTACACATCCATTAACGTCAACGCCATCAATAATCAAAATGAGACGGCAATGGATTTGGCAGACAAACTCCAATACGGAGACTCCTCTCTGTTGATCAAGGAAGCATTAATCGACGCTGGGGCCAAACAGGCCAGATATATCGGCCAAGTTGATGAGGCAATGGAACTGAAGAGGACCGTGAGCGACATAAAGCATGAAGTGCAATCACAACTCATTCAAAATGAGAAAACCCGTAGGAGGGTTTCCGGCATTGCAAAAGAACTCAAGAAGATACACAGAGAAGCTGTCCAGAACACCGTCAATTCCGTAACCGTAGTAGCAACCTTGTTTGCCTCCATTGCTTTCTTGGCCATCTTCAACATGCCGGGCCAATACACTGATTCAGGCGAAGCCCGGGTAGCCGAGACTGCCGCCTTCCGCGTGTTTTGCCTATTGAATGCCACTTCTCTGTTCATATCCTTATCTGTTGTTGTGGTCCAGATAACGCTCGTCGCATGGGACACGCAAGCCCAGAAGCGGGTGGTGTCAGTTGTAAACAAGCTAATGTGGGTGGCAGGTGTGAGTACTTCCGGGTCATTTTTGGCGGTTGGGTTCATCGTTGTCGGTAGGAAAGGTAAGTGGATGGCTATAACCATCACTGGTCTGGGTGGGCCTATCCTTATAGGGACATTGCTTGGTTTGTGTTACTTTGTGTTCAGGCAGCATTTTGGTGGGGACTCTCAGAGACGGATAAAAAGGGCGACTGGTAGCAAATCTTTCTCGTGGTCTTACTCTCTGAATGTTTCTGATTTGGATGACTATAACTCTGATGATAAGATCTATGCTCTGTGAATATCACAATTATTGTCCTATTTGTTTTTACTGCAAGGTTCATGGAGATGTACTGTAATTGTTTTTCAGGCCATCAGCCATGTAGAGAGATTGGACTTTAGGCATATGATCACAAGGTAGAGTTTGATTATGTAAAAGTTTGTAGAATTGTACATAGAGTGGAATCGGTGGATTGCTAATTAACTCTTGATTCTTGAAATTAATTTCTTCATATTTTCTGAAAATTCTATGGCATTGCTTCGTGGAATCATTGAATCACATAAACATTCATCAAAAGACGATCTAATTATTTTGTGATTTGACTACTTGCTATCACTAATGGATGGTGCTCTTTAAATCCGTACAAAAGAATCTATTTAGAGAAGAATTATCATCACTTCACAGTAATGCGGTCGAATTCAGATAAGCTGTTAATTGGACATCTTTTGTCAGAGTTAATCACCATATTTATAAATAAGTCCTACATTTCCTATATAAATATGGATAACAATTAACAATAGCAATGCGGTAGTAGAAGGAGGTGTTTTAGTAGTAACATCCTCAATGCGACTACTATTGGTCAATAGTTGATCACTTGATCATGGCCATCAGTCCATCACTACTAAAGTACTAAATACAACTACTGCTACCAAATATAATGGCCAATTGTCAAAAAGTAGGAAATTAAAGAATCACAGTAGGACATTATAGTATTATACACATTACAATAGTGGTTATAAAAATGACATATTTTAAATTGAATTGTGAATACATTACACTTGACATTTATCTGGTTGGCAGTTTCAATGTCCATACTCCATGGGACTCGCAACCAAGACAGTAAAATTGGAAAGAAAAAATTACACTCGTAGGTATACTAACATCTACCTAATAATGCCCATATGGTTTTCCATTTTAAAAAACATTACCATCTGAGCATTGTTCATAAATATATTGGGAGGGATGACCATCACTACATTAGGTACATCCTATGTTTGAAAAGAAGAACTACTAGGGACCAATATTTACCATTTACACTATAGTACAAGTGGACTTCCCCAAAAGAGAACTAAATTACTGATAAATTGGGCATAATGTAAAAGTGGGAATGGGTTAATCAGCGTTGCAACTGTCCAGGGGGTTTACGGGATGATGTTGAAGTTAGTCCTCCATTCATGCCTTGTGCCTGGTTAGGTTGTTTGGAGTCTTCTGGTCTATGTACCTCCTGATCGAGAGAGCATTTTTAGCATGGGCACTTTGTTGTGGAGACAAATAGAATTAAATAAGTAAATAAGTAAAACTTGTTATGCAAAAGAAAGTGAAGAGTTAACTTGTCCCAATTTTAGTCAACGTTGTAAAAAGCGTTAGGTGCCAAAACGTAGTCATGTTTTGACATTAATCAACAGGAAAAACACTGAAAAGGCTACAACAACAATTTTAATAATCCTGCTTAAAAAAACATGTTACAACAAATGCTGAAAAAATATGAAAGCTACTTCATAAAGTGAAACTAAATTTTCACATATCTTCGAAAAAGAGATACAACCCAGTTATACTACAGAGTAGGATAAGTATAGTTGAGCAAAAAAATAAATTTTGAAAATGATAGTATTACTACTTTTAACAATTTGAAAAGTTGTACCTTGACCAGATATGGCTCTTCATTTTTGGAACTGAGATTATAATATATGTAGTATATACCACTAAAAAAGGACACCCTGGTGCACATTGTAGTCCCTGCAAGGCAAGGGTCGAGCGAAGGGTCCCACCACAAGAGTTTATAAGAAGCCACTCTTCCCTTATCATTTTGACAAGAGGCCGCCCCCAAGACTTGAACCAGTGACCCTCAGTCAAGCAGCAACACCATAACCGGTGCGCAAAGACACCCCTTCTATAATCTATATACCACTAACGACCTTAAATTAAAATAGCAAATCAAATAGAGCACAGTAAAAGAAAGCCAACCTTCCATGAAGATGTGGAGTTGTAAGCTAAATGAGGTTGTGCCTTAAAAAGCGCACGATGCATTTGCTGGATCTGTTCAAACTGTTGTAGCCTTGATGAGAAGTTTATCCCATTATGTGAATTTTCAAATGCGTCAACTCCATCTGAAATGTGTGACCCACCCCTCAAATAACTTGTTTGGTAATAAGGATCGCCAGAAGCTGTTACCCTTGAGTATTCCTCACTAAAGAAGTACTTGGGAACAGTTTTCAACCTGGTCCGTAAAACCTTAAAGGCAGTACTTTGCTGTAGCAAAATGATAAAGAAAAAAGATGTCACAAAAAAAAAAATCATTTCTTAAAGGTGCCCTTTTGTTTCAGAAAAAAAAACTTTATGAAAATGTTTTGATAGAGGCATAGTGCATTATTGTAGATATTATTATTATTATTAGTTTTCTTTATGAATACTCCGTTTCTTCTTTTTTATTTGTAATGTATTTCATTTTGGGTGTTTTATTTACTATTTGCCACATTTTCATATTTGGAAACCTCTACCCTACTTCACATTTTATTTCCTACATTTTCACACTCTCTTTCTCTTTCCTACTATTGATTTTTATAGTGTTAAGTAAAAAAGAATGGAGGGAGTATTAGTTTTCTATTATCAGGAGTAGTAGTTTCCTATTAGTATAGGAATTCTATTTAATTAATATTGCTAATTGTAGTATTGTGACAGGTTTAGGGTTACTCTAGTACTACTGTAGTTAGCCCACTCAGAATCTCGGAATAAGTATAAATAGAAGCACTATTTTCATTAATACTATATAATCAATAACTTTGGAGTTATTCCATCAGGTCTTGACAAGGACAGCAGCCTCCTTCCATTACTTTGGCCTTAGGGCGAAGAAGTTTTTTCTTTATTGATTTCAATCATCTTTTCATCTCCAAACCACGCCCACAACATGTTTCCCAATGAAAATGTTGTCTCAAAAATTAAGTTGTATATGCATCGTATAATGTCTGACCCTCAAAAATAGAAAACATAAAACTAATTCAAGAAATTACTTCGCGTTTGATAACAAAAAAAAACTTTTCCACAAACTTGTAATTGTCAGTTCGGAACTCAAAAATTGCAAAGGGAAAGAATATGAAGGAAAATATAGAGCATCTAAAATGTAAGAGACAATAAAACATGGATCAAACTATATATATATATATATATATATATTTATACTCTCAAACATTTCTTTATTAATTCATTTATAATATTTTTATAATATTATAAATCATACAGGAAAACATTTTCCTTTCCAAGGCAAAACCAACCAAATACAAGAAAACAACTTGCTTTTTTTTATTTCCCTGGCATATTCTTGGATCCAAATATGCCCTAAAGAGTCATCATCATTTACCCTAGTGCCGCAAAGGCTCCCACCTACGGTGGGGTAAGGGGGGTCGGATGTACGCAGTCTTACCCCTGTCCTAAAGCACAGAGAGACTGTTTCCGGATGACCCATAGTGAAAATCACGTCAAAAAATGCATGGACTGACTGCCGCTTCATAACAAAGAAGCACAGACAGTTTAGTGAGTCATTTTGCTTTATTCCATCATATTCTCAAGCCAAAAATAGTGAATCTTTGGCTCCATTGCTTTATTCCTTTCCTGGTGCGACATACAAGAAAATCTTTCCATAGAAAAAAGAAAACATTTACCAAAATATATTTTCTGAAACAAATGGAGCCCTGAGATGGTAAACAACATACTGATGCATACCGTACCTGAGGCAGCAGCATAAGCAAGCCATTCAAGGATTTTAATAGCCAGATGTATCTTCCGGGTTCAAGAAGCTGCAAAAAAATTGGTTAAAATAGTGGTTATTACTATGCAAATTCACAACATATAAAAGAAAATAAGATTCATTTCATTCCATTTTAAACATCTAAGAATAAACTTAGAACACCTGCAGCCTCAAATATGCAAACATTGGAGTCTCCAGGAGGTGGATTAATTTGTCTAGTTGGACTAAGAACTTCACATTGACATCCTCCTCAACCAGAGATTGAACAACAGAACTTGCATGTTGGTATGCCTGCAACACATTTCCATAAATGTTGGGAAAAAAGAAACTCATTGTAAACCCTAGCTTAGGCCTCACCCACTATAACGCCCTTCATATTTCTATGTAAGGATGCGTGTCAAGAATCAGCTGATAATGAAAAGAATGATATGCATAATTATTTTTTGCTCAAGTGGAAGAACGGTACTTCTGCCTTTATTATTTTGTTTTACTTGGTTACTTATATTTTTGAATCTTTTTAAAAATTAAAATATTTCAGCAAATCTAGAAATTTTAGCCACAACTATTTCAGATTGAGCCACTTCAATCACTTTAAGCTTACCAAACAGGATCCTACTATATTATCTTTACTTTATTTGGTTTATAATATTTGCTTCTCCTGAGAGATAGGTGGTGGTTATTTTCCACCCTCAAGTTTTACCAATTCCTCAATATTCAAAACAAAAAACGCAGCTACAAGGACAAAAAATTGATATTCTCTATTCAATGAAGAGGAAAGATGGAAGGGAGAAGAGGGATCAGAGATTGTTACTTGTGCTAGGAAGCAGAGGCTTATTACAGCCATAGGAGAATGGCACCAGGAAGCATATAAAGAAAGAAACAAGTCCTTTCCAGCAGAATTGACTAGTGATTGTTTCAAAAGAGCACGGAGACTAGACAACTCGGATGAAGTTAACAAAATCAAGTTCAAGGCCTGAAACATAGAAAAGGGGGTCACAAGACAATATAAATGGTGAAAAAACAGTGTGCAGAGGCAATTTTTGAGAAGTATTAAGACTGTTAATGGTGGAGAGGCAATTTTGATGTTTATTTGAAGCAGCAGCAGATTTGCAGATTTTTTACACCGCTGCCTTTAGGTATTGAAATTTGAAACGAAATAGCACTTATGATAAAAGCACTTCAACCATATGTTATCCTATACAGTAATGGCAAAAACTGAGTCGGGTAGTTTACAATATGACCCATCTTTGAGTTTTTATTGCATTGACCGCTCTCAAAGTATCAACCTAACAAATTTTAAGTGATCTAAGAGCGAATAAAACCTGAACCATCACTGCCACAAACTGCAAATCTGACTCTCCTTCAAGTATGGTAGAAAATTCCCTATAAACTCTCTCTGCATCCAGAAGCACACAAAGCCTCCTAACTATCAATGCACCACGCCTGGTTGGAAATTTTGATAGTAAGATTCCAATAGAAGACCAAAAAAATGATAGCTCCAAAGAATATACTCCTTCCGTTCCACAAAAGGAGTAATGTTTTGGTACAAGTTTTACTTGTGGCAGACTACAACTATAATATGTCATAAATTAGCAGAGTACAACTGTCATAACTCATAAGTCATCAATGATACCACTCTGTCTCAGGATCTCATCCAATTTTCTGAAGTCAAAAGTTGGTGAACATTGTGGATATTGTTTGCAAATGAGTAGTTCATATAGAAGTTAATTTTTACCAATGGTAACGACATTTTCCCGGGATCACATCCAATTTCATTTTGATTAATGAAAACAATATTTGATTGATTAATTTTTCTTTTCTTCTGATCCACATAAACTTCACATTTCCTTATAAGGAATGAATTGTAGTTGGTAATTCTATTTTTTCCAAATGTATCTTAAACTCCACTATTTCGAACTATGTACAAAGTAAAGGTGAAGTCATCAACTGTGAAAGGAAATGAAGGAAAAAAATAAATTGTATTAAAATAACTATAGGTCATCATCATCATTACCCCAGTGCCGCAAAGGCTCCCACCTACAGTGGGGTAAGGGGGGTCGGATGTACGCAGTCTTACCCCTGTACTAAAGCAGGGAGAGACTGTTACCGAAGGATCCATAGTGAAAATCGCGTTAAAAAATACATGGACTGACTGTTACTTCACAATAAAGAAGCACAAACAGTTTAGTGAGCCATTTTGCTTTATTCCATCATATTCTCAAGCCAAAAAATAGTGAATCTTTGGCTCCATTGCAAATGATGGAAAAATAAAATAACTATAGGTCTCACATATAAAAAAAACATCCCCAAGTGGGCAGAATATTATACCCAAGTGTTACAAAAATATTCAATACTTCAATATGTCCTTTTGATTTCGTTACTTTCAGTTTTCCACTTAAACTAACAAAAATAAATAATTGCTCTGCTCTTTTCTTTCCTTTCATCCACACATACATGTGGAAATTAAAAATCTTTCCAGCTTCTTTCCCCTCTCCTTTCTCATTTCCATTTTGCCTCCTATAACCAAATAGAGCCTAAGGGGGATGGGGTGTTAAATGGGACAGATGGAGTAATGCACTACTGCGAAGTACTTAAACTTACTTTTCCAAAAGAGAATGATCAAGATGGAAATTGTGAATCAAGAATACTATAAGTTGACGGAAGTGATGTGTTTCCTTAGCTATGCAAGCATGCACCTCAAGTCCCAAAAGCACTACCTATGAGCAAATGAGGAATACTTTAACAAAATCATTATACCAAGTTAGATCAAGTGTCAAGAACATTTGGTAGACAGAAAATTCTTAAAGCCTTAAACCCTTTTGTTCTCTTTCTCATGCCTTGCCAAATTTATGATTAACCTGTTTTGATAAGTAAGAATACATGATCCAGATTATTTACAAGATTCACTCCCCCTTACCATTTAGGGTAAACTTTAGCATTAGTTGATAGAAGAGATTGCATTAGTAATAATTTGTAGGACTATATCAAGACGAATAATAGAAGGTATAATACAACATACAATTTGCTTGAAGAAGTTTTAATCAGTAAATCTAATATAATCAAACACATTTACAGGTCACCAAACACCGTCCACGCGTCCACCATAGCAGACATATAAAAGTAAAATAATTTCAATTTCAGGCATTTCTCGCTGCAAATTGTATAGGATGATTCCATATGAAAAGAAAATATTGGCTTCAGGGCATTTCTCGCTATAAGATATTGCATTATTTATTAACAGAAAACAATGTTCGGATAAATAACATCCCGTGAAAGCCAGGGAAAAAAAGAGAAAGTAAAAAAGAAAAAAAAAACTATGGCTTGTGAATTGTAAATAGTTACAATACATAAAGGACGCTTAAAAAACTTGCATTCATACAACCATCAGTATACAAGACCACATTGGCAAAATTACAGGCACTCAAATGCAAAAAGAGGCAGCAGAAGATACCTCATCAGAGGGGTCTGAAAGAACCTCACGGAGAGTGTCAAAAACATCATTCAGGAAAACCAAGACCTGTGGGAAAAAATCAATAATATATGAAGTGAATACTGGTTAAAAAGCTGCAGTTCGGAGATAGCAAAGAATATGAATTGATGCTGACCAACAGAAAAAATACGGCATAAGTTGAAAAGCAAAAACTTGATAAGGCAGATGCTGGATCGAATTGCTTCAAATACACAGAATAAGACACAAATAAATAGAAACTTAAAAACAAAATAAAGGACAAGCCAGGTTTCATTACCGCCATACGATGCCTACTAAGCAAGGTAAACATCCAGTGCAGTGCTTCAATCCGGGTTGCCTCAAATTCACTCGACACCTGACTGGTATAAAGATTCGAACCTTAGAATTCAATCATCCATGACTAACATACGTAATAATCACATGCGTAAAGAACATTACGATTAAAAGTGATTATGCCTCTTTTAGGTCAGATAATAATGTCATATCAAATTATCAATAAATGACAGAAGCTTAAATAACCCTAAACTTAACCAGTTCAGTCAGTAGCGAATATCTACCTCCTACAAATATTTAGGACTGCTTCAACACTGAATCCCTCAGCAGGATAAGCTTTCATCGACCTAAGCTCATCATTTGTCTCACGAGCAACCTACAAAAGAGAACAAGAAAAACAAGAGATAGAGGAATAAATAAAAATGAATTTTTGAATATAATTCATAAGCACACAGTATACTCATAAAATTATAGAGCAACTCAACTCACAACTCTTATTTTTTCTTCTTTATCAGCGATACAAGGCAAAATTGCTCCCAAAATAGCAGCATAATAAGGAACCAGTTGATCACCACCAAGTTTTACTAACTCATTTAACTGAAGACAGAAAATATTGGCACGAACATAAGCAAGGCAATACAATGAGGACGGTTATAATGCAACAGAGATTTGACATAATGTAGATGCAATCATGCAAATAGAGACATACTCCCTCCGTTCTCAAGTAAAGGCCTTTTGTTTACAAAAAATGAAAGAACTGTCCAGTTAGAGTAATACATTATAAAATGACCAAGTTACCCCCAAAATTATTTCAGCTTTTTTATCCGTGTATCTATGTTATCTTCCTTGTGTTCTTTATCCTTTTATCTTTTTTATTTTAAAATATATATATTATTTTTATCCTTTTTATCTTATCATTTTTATGCAATTTTCGACGCGATTTTCACTACGGGTCATTCGGAAACAGTCTCTCTGTGCTTTAGTACAGGGGTAAGACTGCGTACATCCGACCCCCTTACCCCACCGTAGGTGGGAGCCTTTGCGGCACTGGGGTAATGATAATGATGATGATCTTATCATTTTTATTTTTAACTTATATTTATCTTCATCTTATCTTTTTTATCATATCATATCTTTTTATCTTTCTTTTCCTTTTGGCTCTGATATCATGTATCGACTCATGTTAGCCGACCCCAAAATCTTCGGGGCTAAGGCTTGGGTGTTGTTGCTGCTGCTAGTTTTAATGCTTATAAATTAATAGGGAACCTAACGCCAAATTTACTGATCCGCTTAAAACCTGCATGGTTTTCTTAACGAACAGTTGTTGAAGAACAGGGGGAGTATATTACAAGTAAATGTGCAAGTCAATATCCTTACCCATGTAATAGCAGTCAGCCGAGTAAAGTCATCTAGTGAACCTGCCCTCTGTACCAATATCTCGACCATTCGACCATAATCTACAGACTTGAAGAGAACTTGAGTCAGAAGTCAGAACATCGGGTGGATGAATTATTCTATTATACCCCAAGTTTGACTCCAGCTACATAAAACTGTAAGAGGTTCATTAAACCTTTGTACTCAAAGACCCTAATTATTTGGTTGGAGTGAATACAAATAAATCAGAAATATTCTTAACAGACATCGAAATGGTCTGTTTTGACAGAGGGTTTTGGAGAGGGAGACTTTGGAGGCTTCAGTATGCATCTTAAAATATATTTGAGATTTTATAAAAATTGAAATATTAACATAATATTTGATCATATAACATTTCAATCATGTATTCGTTTTCAAACACATTCTTTTGTGAAGTTATATACTCATCCCTCCAAAGCCTTCCCCTCCAAAACCCTACATCCAAAGAGGGCCTTTACGGGCCAAAAACAAAATACGAAGTATTACATTTCCAGCATTATCTCATCATATACATATTTGTAGTAAAGAATATATGATGGCTGCACTCAAGTGTACTACCCCAAATTTTGGCATAAAAATTTCTTGTAGTTTATTAGAGTAATGCCATACTGAATAACCTAATACGTTAGGTTGATTTGTGTATGATATCAAATGTTTCCATGCTCATGCAACATAAGCTACAATTTCAGAATAAATCTACATGGAGGAGTTCACCTAGAAAGGCAAATTATTAAGATGAGAAGTCTTACTACTGGGGAGTTCTTAATCTCCTGGAGGAACTCTGTAAGTGCAGAATCAGCCTGTTGTCGTATTTCATGGCTGGAATCACTTAACATATTAAATAAACCTGCAGACGCACAATTAGTAAGATTTCCTGCTTAGAAGAGAGAAGAAAATAAAGTAAAAAGGGCAAAACAGATGCCAATTCCAATCTTAGAATCACAGACAACAAAATTAAGGGTATCCAAATGTGTCATAATTAACTACTTAAATCAGACACAAGCACTACAAGACACTCCAGATATAGATGAGTCACCCAAAAAAATCTGAAATTCTACGATTTATCTCCATGGAAATTGATTTCTGGTCATTGCGCAACTTAAGTTTTGACAAGTCAAGTTACTCCGGTGGTAGCGACGATGAAGTTCATTAAGTATGAAAAAGGATAAGTTCTGCTCTATTAAAGTCCATGAAAAGGATAAGATCTGCTCCAGTGAAGTCCATGAAAAAGGATGAGTTCTGCTCTAGTAAAGTCTTATGAATTATGTGACTTAATATAGGATTTGTACATCCTTTCTCACTTCTTTGAGCCTTTGTAAGCTGTTTCATGGCATTGTTCTCCTTTATTTGTCCCTTCTTTGTTTATTTTATTTGCATGTTATTTGTCACTTGATATGCATAATTACAAGTCAATACTCCCTCCATTCCTATTTATTTGACCCGCTAGACTTTGCATGGAGTTTAAGAAAATAAAAATTGTGTTGTTGAGATTTATAGGGAAAGGAATGATATCAACCACGCAACCTACCTTTACCTTTAAAGGAAATGGGATGCATTTATAGGGGTGATCCGAAAAGGAAAGAGGGTAAATTAAAAGGGGATGTATAATTAAATACAACAACCAAGCCTAAGTCTCAAAAGAGTTTGAGGTCGACTGACATGCCATGTGATGTGACTAAGTTATACCATCGTCTGTCACGCGCCAACCACAGGATGGAGTACTACTCCCTCCGTCCCCCTATTATTGTCCCATTGCGGTTTACGATGCTTGACCGACGATAAAGCAAACAGATCCCTGTCCGCACTCAAATTATTTTTAGAAAAAGAAAATTACATATTCAGAAACTACATTTAAAGATTTACAAAGTCGCAAAAACCAGAATCAAATTTGATAAAAATTTGATACATAAAGTAAGAGATTAAGAGTGATTTGTGTTGACCAAGTGAATAGGAAATGGGACAATAACAGGGAGACGGAGGGAGTACTAGATAATGACAAAATTAACAGATTTGTAAGAAGTACATTTTCTAATAATAACAGAATTCATGTTTCAAAACATGTCTAGGACCCCTACTTTTTGCATTATATGTGTACATATCCACACATAAGATGCACTTGTTTCTATAATTCCATCAATCTCAAACTAAGTGCATCGAATGTACCATCAAGAAAATCGGGGAGAAAGCCAAGCATATCAATATCTGGAACACTGTCTAAAACTGTGATCCACCCAACCAAAAATTGGCGCACATAAGGATTGAGGACATTCATACGCTCCCTCAACAATGGAATAAATTCTTCAATGCTGTGAGACAGAGAAGCTAAATAGTTAGCTATTGAACTGTAGAACCCTAAGAGCAATTAGGTATAGGTACTGGGTGATAGAATGTTATCAGACCTGAATTGATCACTCTCAGTGACAATGTCCTGCACTCAATAGATATTTTGGACATTATGTTTCAAAAATAAATAAGTCAAGATGTATAACTAATGAGTCTAAAGTAAAATGTTGTCGATGTTGGGAAGGAAAGCAGAAATCATATGGCATTCATATCTTGAGAGAGAATATGTAGAGTCGTTCTAAAAATTATAAAAGTCGCTTCCACAGCAGATATACAAAAGCATTATAACACATTCTCAAAGTTTTTTACAAGTGCCATTTTCTGGGATTTCGCTTCTTCACAAAATTTGTAATAGTAAATAAAAGGAGATTGTTTCTATGTTTCTTTCGGATGTTGTGCTCTAATAATCCCACTACCATAGACACACTTATGCCCCCGCGCCCAAATAGTACTTTGAAGTTAAGACATATCTGATAGAGTGATAGGTGAAAAAACTGATTACTTACCTTCACAAGCCTATCTAAAAGATGAGCAGCACTTTGTACATTTGAATCTGAGTCTGCTGAAAGCTTGCACAGAGCATCAAATATCTGGTTGAAGAATACAATGAAATCCCCTCTTACTACCTGAAAAATATCTTACATCAAGGAAAGAAAATTTTCAAAAGGAAACAAAAATGAATAAAACCTAACTGTCTCACCTTTGCAATGTTATACAGAGCTTCACAGGCATAATAGCGAACTCTACTATCTTGATCCGAGAAGGAGCTCAGGACAGGTGGCACAATTTGCTGCCAAATTGCATTATGAGGAGCTACGAAATGAATGAAGGGGAAAAGAAACTACAACTATCCAGTATCCACCACAGCTAGTCAACTACAAATTCCAATTAAAACTTGGACAAATAAAACTAGACTAAGCTGGTCTCACGGCCATACTTAAACATCAATTTTCCTTTTACTTAATTAAGTTTTGAACTTTTTTCCACTAATACATTAAATAACGATTTTATTTTAACTTTCTATATATGGGTCCATGCCACGTTTGCTAGAGAAAGAATCATGTGCCTATATTATTGGCAATTTTATCTACCATAGGCCAATTTGGTCCTTCAGAGTAAAACCCCAAGACCAAGAGGGGTCTTTTTTTAAAACTGTGATCCATGCAGTAGCAAGATAATCTCATTTTTCATCGAAGAATGTTCTTATCCAGTTACTAAGACAAAAGAGATGACTATAACATTGCTAATTAATACTCCCTCCGTCCCGAAATAAATGTACTGCTTTCCTTTTCGGTTCGTCCCAAAATAAGTGTCTTGTTTCCTCTTTTGGCAATAATGGGTGGCTCATATCAATTCATCTTTTTCTACTCAAATCTCAACCACAACTTTTACCTTTTCAACCACTTTCATAAAACTTGTTCAAAAGCAAACAAGACAATTAATTCGGGACGGAGGGAGTACAAGTCATTACCTCAAGATGCTGTGCTGCCTCAGAAGTTAACCCCACGGTTGCCGCAGCTAACCCTATTAATCCTCCCTAAACCCATAAAAACACATGGTAATAAATAAAAAAAAAATAAAGGGAGCAAAAAAGAGCAATAAGGTGAACTCCAGCAAGAGCTTACTTTTCTGTGATTAGCTTGGGGAGAGAACGCATACTCCTCGCTCAACAAGTTGATCACGGCAGTAATCCTGTCATGATCACCGCCCAGAGTCAACTGCTTCACAATTCCCTCCAACTAACCAATTTAGAACAAAAAATTGAAACTTGGTTAATAACCCCTGAAAACGCTGAATAAATTAAAAGCTTCAAAATCCAAGCAAATGCGGACATCAAAACCCACCTCAAGAGCAGCATTCTTTCGCTTCTCGTAGAGCTTATCGGAGAGGTTACGGAGAACCGCAGCAGGAACCACGCACAAGGCTTCCGCAGCGGCCATACAAGTAAAAACTACACTAAACCCTAGACACGAAAGGAAAGAATAAACAACGCTTATACAGCACAAAATTAATCAAATTCTCTGTCCTGATTTCTTTTGAAGAAGTTGAACAATGCTTCCCTTCACTCCCGCCTATATGTGTATTTTGTATAGGTGGGGGTGCATGTAACTTCGTGGAATACGAGTGATGAACAGATCTAATGCGAAACGAAAGAACGAAATTGAAACAATTAGACGACAAGTTAGATCGGTTTTTTACACTTCTTCTTTGGAATTTGAAGAGGAAGAGAAAAGGATCGTGTCAATTCTAAGCTAAGCGAGCCGATATATCGGTTGTTTGAATAGTAGGATACTAGGATGTCTGAACTCTATACTTCTCAGTTCTGACTTCTAAATTGGCGCAAAACAATAAAGGGAAAGAAATGTAATTAACAATAAAGGGAAAAGTGCTGAATAAAGTGATCTCGTTTTTCGATTTATCTATTTAAGAGTCAATTTTTAACTTCATATGTGATTTTGGATTTTCACGCGCTTTATTGTGTGACAATAAAAAAAATAAAATTGAAGTTATTTTTCTGACTGTAATGTCGAAGTTATTGTAGAAGATCATTTTAATTATTTTTAAATGTAATAGGATTGAGCGTCACGCAGACCAATAAAAAGTAATTTATGTAGTTGATATTGAATTAATAAAGTAAGAATAAAGTAAGAATGATTAGTGGGACAGATCGAAAATGTAAAATGAAACAATTTAACATCACAGAAGGAGTAAATCAATTTCTTCATAAATCAATGGAGTCAGTCAATCGATTCAACTGATTTCAATGTAATCAAACGACTCTTATTCTCCACCCTCTCCTATCATTTACACATATGTACACATGATTTCTACTTTTTTGTCTACGCCTTTTAGTTATATATGTGTACACATGCAGCTCATCTAAAAAGATCTGAAATTGTCGGTAATTTTTTATTTATACAGACCAGTTTACAAAAAGTATACATTTTTGTGTACATATAGAATAACTCTTTACTTTTGCTTTGTATCATAACATCATATAAATATTCTTCCATTTTCTCATTTCTTCCTCACTTCCCTCCTCTTTGCCCTCTTTCTTCCTTTTGTCTTCCTTCTCTACCCAGTCATATTAAAATTTTTAATCAAATATTAGATCCTCCTCTTCTCTTCTCCTTTTTCATCTTCTCTACTTTTTTTGTTTCCATATTTTTATTACTTGCACAAAATCATCAATATTTTACTCTTTTCAAAAAAAATTATAAAATTTTTATTTTATTTTCAAATTGCATATAAATTGGTCGCATATATAACTGCATCATTTATTTGCATATAAAGATGTTTTTACTTGGAATGTTTTCAGTCCCAGACCAGATCAGACTAGACCAGTCTTGGACAGTTATATAATACACAAAGATCGGACATTTACCAGATCAGATCAGACTAGACTAAACCAGATCAGACCAGAAAATTTCAATCCAAGTAAAAACATCATATATAAACATTTACATATTGTTGGGGTAATTGGCCCAATACGGAGTCGGCCCAATATCTGATAAGTCTGTATTTCAATACGCATTTGATTTGTGTTGAGATCGGTTTTGATAGTTTTCCTAGTTTAAATGTGTCAAGTGGTTCATAATTAGCTCAAGTCATGATTTACGAGGTTTTGGTGTATGTTTGGTATTTTTAGAGTGAAATTCAGGGAATTAAGCCTGACAGTGGTGTTTGAGAAGCAATCGAGAGAGTTGAGTGTTGAAGACTATTTTATTGTGAATCAAGTTTGTCTGTTTTGTCTGTAATAATTTAGATGTTTACTATTCCTGTTCTGCACTGATTAAATATATCTGTTAGAATAGTATTCAATATGGGCCAAGTGTTAGGCCCATACTTAGGCGAGAAGCCCTATTTTACGCATACCTGAGCCTCGCCTATAAAAGAGAGCGGAGGACTCAGGTTTGCGTTTAACTTCCGTATCTGCTCAAAATAGCCTTAGCGCTTATCATTCTTGTACGAACTGTTCACGGTATATCAGAGAAGGTTTACGCTTGATCTTTATGTGTTCATCTTTGTTGTTAATCTTTCATCTGTATGCCATATTATCTTGCTGTTATAGAAAACAGGGACTAACAAATGGTATCAGAGCCGATCGAGAGTTGATCAGAAGAACGATCTGCGAAAGACTCTGTTTTTCCTTCCTTTTGTAGAATAGCGAGTCTATCATCTGTAATCTTTTTTCTGCACCAAATGTTGTAAAAGTTATACTGTTAGAATCGCGTTTCAAAGACGATCAAGCAGTATATCTTCTTTATTCGTTTCCGCATTTTTTTGTTCTCTGTAAACTCGCATCCAGGAACTCGCACCCTTCGTTTCTCTAAGCTCTGTGCAGCTTTTTGACCTGAAACTTGGGTGAAAGGATCTCTACAACAAGGGCTACAACTTACCATATCTGTTTTTCTGAAAATCTGAAGTTTTATTTTTTCAGGAATTCGCAGTCCAGGTGTTATCGCATAAACTCGCAGCTGCAAACTCGAGTTGAGAAACTCGCTGTTAGGAACTCGAGCTCAAGAACTCGCCCTACAAACTCGCAGTCTGCAAACTCGCAGTTAAAACTCGCAGTCTGACCTCGAGTTTTGACCTTGCGAGTTTACACCTCGAGTTTTGGAAACTCGCACTCTTGACCTCGAGTTTATAAACTCGAACTCTCACCTCGAGTTCCCCAGACCTCGAGTTTAGGCCTTTAATACTCAGGAACTCGAGTTCTTGACTTAGTAATTTTTCTGATCTTATTTCTCGAACGGTCAGTTTTCTATAGCTACAGAAATGGCTTCTGAATCCAATGCGCAAGGAAACAACAGTACTCCTCCATCTCTGAGGAAAGGGGAGTACCAAATGTGGAGAACTCGTTTCTTGAACTTCCTTGAGCACAAAGAAAACTCCGACGCAATGCTGGAATCGCTCCTGGAAGGACCAGCTGTTCTGATGATTGCGGTAGGAGGGGACTCAACTAATAATCCACCCATTCCTCCGGAAACAAGACGAAAGAGGTCGTCTGAATACACTGAAGCAGACAAGCTAAGGCTGAGAGGAGACCTTATGGCCAAAACATACCTCCTCCAAGCCATCCCCAATGAAGTGTACGTGATGATTGACAGTATGCAAACAGCAAAAGAGATGTAGGATGAGATTGAAAAATTACTCCAAGGCACGAGCATAAGCCTAAAAACCAAGAAATCTGCTATACTAATGGCTTATGACTCGTTCAAGGCTGCTCCTGGAGAACCTCTTCACGAGACTCATGCCAGACTTGTGAAGCTGATGAATGAAATGAGGAAAATCAAAATATTCAGAACCAACCTGGAACTGAATACTAGATTTCTATCCAGTCTGCACCCAGCTTGGAGTAAAACAGTGAAGGACTTGAGACAACGCATTGACATGGATGAGATTGATCTCTTCACCTTAAATGAGCTGTTAAAGGAGTTTGTCAATGACATTGCATGCACTGAGGAACAATCAAGCCCAACTCCTCTGGCTCTATTGATGGAAGCTCAGCCCAAAAGAACAACAAAACCTCTGCAGAAGAAGAAGAAGAAGATAGTGGAGGTTGAATCTGATGAAGATGAGAGTGATGAAGAAGGAACTGATCTTGAAGCTGAGCTTGCAGATCTCCAGAAGAAGATGGCCCTGCTGGCCAAGAAATTTGCCAAGAGGAACAACTCTTCAAATAAGCTGCGAACCTCTTCCTCCAACTACAAACAGAAGAACCAGGACCAAAGCTCAGCCAGGAAGGCTACATCAACTGCTAATACCCCTGTGTGCTATAACTGCGGGAAGGCTGGACATATCAGCAAAGACTGTCAGCTTCCAAAGAAGAGAGATGCAAACTTCTACAAGCAGAAGATTCTGATGAATAAACAAAAGCTCTTCTTGGCACAACAGGAGGAAGTAGAAGCTTCTGGCAAACATGCTGAGCTGGTCCAGTGGGCAGAAGATGATAGTGAAGAAGAAGAAGAGGAGGAAGAAAACTTCGCATTGATGGCAAGGCTGGAGGATGAAGAAGAGAAAAAGGGTGATGCTGCGATCCCAGGAAGTGAATGCTCTACAAGCACTGTAAGTACCTCTAATCACTCTCACATTATCCAAACTCAGTCCTTACACAATAAGGACAACCTCATTAAAGAACTGCAGGAGAGATTAGACAATAATTACAGGGTACTGAAACAGAACCTTGACCAAAAATCTTCATTAAGCATTCAACTTGAAAATGTTAAAGATCAGATCAAAAAGGTGTCCTCAGACTTTGAAAAATTTGAACTTAAAATAGCTGAACTGACTAAGAAACTGCAAGACAGCGAAGTTGAGAAAAACACAACCAAAGCTGACTGTGAATTTTTAAGGAATAAAAGAAGCAGCCTTTTAAACAAAGTAAAGGAACTGGAGGACGTTTGTGTCAGAAGAGGTCAAACCGAGCATACAGTTTTTCTAAATCGAATAAGCGACGTTCAGCATTACAATCCAAAAGCTGGTCTTGGAATGCCGAACCCTTGTCATTTAAAGAAAGTTAACTGCCGCCAGTTGTATGATGCAACTTACTTAACTCTAGACATTGACAAGAAAATGAAATTTGGAAGTGAAGATGAAACCGCTAAAGAAGAAGAAGAGAAGAAGAGTAATCCTAAAATCGAAACTTCTTTTGACTATACTCCTCTGGTTGAGAAAGCTCTTTCTAAAGAAAAAGTAATCTACAACGAGGAGGGGTTTGACATTTTTAATACTCCAAAAGGGGTTCCTTATTTCGACTGTCCAATGGGTCCCACTCCCAAAATTGGAATTTTTAAGTTCGGACAGGACAATTGCATCTCTCCGTTGGTTCAAAAATGTGCGGATCTTCAGAAAAGCCTTGACAATGAGAGAGAGCGTTTTGAAACTGAAAAGAAAGGTTCTGAAAGCAATTGGCAAGAACTGTTAAGCAAATTTGATGAATTGAGTGAAAAATATCATTCTGTTTTAAAAACTGCTCAAACCTCTTCTGATAAAAATAAATCTTCTGAAAAATGTGCCACTCATCACTCTTCTCCTGTTGTCACAGGACAAGAAGTGAAAGGAAGAGGAGAAGAGAAGGAAGAGTGGAAGATAAAAAGAAAGGAAATAGCTGCTGGCAAGAAGAAAGTCTTTGAGAATAAACCTGGTCCCAGATCCAGCTCCATTTTGTACTCTAAAACTAAGTCTAAGTCTGTCCATGTCAACTCAGCTTCTAGTAGTTCAGTCTTGAGTCCCAAGCTGAAAAATTCTGTGACATCTTTTGAACATGGTTCTATGTATAATTCTACTATTGCTTATAGTTATTCTGTTCCAGACCCCCATAATTATGAATGTGATGCGAATGTTGTTAGAACCAAATCTCCAAGAAAGCTCAAA